AATAAGTAAATAATGTAACTACACACAGAAGAAAAAGGGTCTGTGTATCATGTATGATGCTTGCATAACACTTGTGTGGTTATCAACCTACATACAGGCATGTTGTGGGTATGTAAAGGAAGCTGGGCCAATCTCATTACTGACACAAGCAGTGAAATGACTACCCATTCCTATCAACAGTGTGATTTATATCAACAGTGGGAATGATTCATGGATTTGCATAGAGCTAATAAGTTATAGCCTTGTGACCTGACAGAGCTTGTACATTTAGGAATATTTTTGTCAAAGTTCCTCTGACAGTCTCTGTTTGTCTCAGCTATTGTATTTTACTCATGTACATTTTAGATTTAAAATACTACATTTCCACAATTTAAAAAAAATATTAGGAGTCCTAAAACAATATGTGTGTTCAAATTTCAAGCTGCATCTTGAAATTTCAAATTTTTTTGATATAATAGTTGCTTATTTGGCACTTTTTTTCAGTGAATTAAAAATTGATAATTTGCAATGCCCAGAAAGTCCACTGGAAGCAAAAGTTCTGTCTGAAAAGAGATGGGTGACTGACTACCATAATTTCAAGCCAGTGTATAAGGCCAAGTCAAAACAAGAAAATGTAAGTTGCAGAATCCCACCTTTGGTTGGAAAGTTAGTATTCATTAGGCATTAACAACACTTACAGCCTACCCACAACAGCAAAATGCTTCAAAGTTTAAAGTAAACTATTAGAAAGGTTACCAAAACAAAGATTATGTATTAAACTTGGAAAAGTAAGATTATAAATAAATGCTGTGCTTTTCCTTATCTAAAAGAAACACTCATACAACTGAAAATGCAACTTGGTTTTAAATTATCCTCTCTCAGATCTCTTTGGAGAAAAGGACATGGCAGGGCTACTCTGCCACATGGTGCTTTGTGATTAGAAGCCAGAGTCTGGAGTGCTGGAGTGGCAGGTCTGACCAGGAGCAATGGGAGTCTCTGCTGAGGTGGGTGGGAATGGCTCTTTGTACAGCACTGCTTCAGCCTGGGACACTCACTGTGGGGATGGAAGGATTAAATTGCTCAGGAGGCTGCCCTCAGTTAAATTGTCTCTAACACCCTGGAGGGCTGAAAAAAATGGTGTTCCTTAGGAAACTCATGCCTGGAATGACAGGGATAGGGAGCAAACAGCAAATGCTAAAAAATCCTCGGAAGCCATGTCAATATCTGATCTGAAAACTAATCTTTACTGGTACATTTAGGAACATGAGGAGAAATTCTGTGCTGCACATGACAGGACAGAGCTCTCAGAACAGGACGGTGCTCACAGCACAGGACAGAGCTCACAGCACAGGACAGAACTCCCAGCACAGGACAGAGCTCCCAGCACAGGACAGAGCTCACAGCACAGAGCAGAGCTCACAGCACAGAGCCCACAGCACAGGACAGAGCTCCCAGCACAGGACAGAGCCCCCAGCACAGAGCAGAGCTCACAGCACACAGCTCACAGCACAGAGCTCACAGCACAGAGCAGAGCTCCCAGCACAGGACAGAGCTCCCAGCACAGAGCAGAGCTCCCAGCACAGGACAGAGCTCACAGCACAGACAGAGCTCCCAGCACAGGACAGAGCTCCCAGCACAGACAGAGCTCCCAGCACAGGACAGAGCTCCCAGCACAGACAGAGCTCCCAGCACAGACAGAGCTCCCAGCACAGGACAGAGCTCACAGCACAGAGCAGAGCTCCCAGCACAGACAGAGCTCCCAGCACAGGACAGAGCTCCCAGTACAGAGCAGAGCTCACAGCACAGGACAGAGCTCACAGCACAGGACAGAGCTCACAGCACAGGACAGAGCTCACAGCACAGGACAGAGCTCCCAGCACAGGACAGAGCTCCCAGCACAGGACAGAGCTCCCAGCACAGAGCAGAGCTCACAGCACAGGACAGAGCTCACAGCACAGAGCTCCCAGCACAGGACAGAGCTCCCAGCACAGAGCTCCCAGCACAGGACGGTACTCACAGCACAGCACTGCTCAGCAGCAGGCAGGGCTGGAAGCTTTTATCTCTCCAGGAGTCCCAGGCAGCTGACAGAGGTCTCACACATTACCTGAGGCTGAGGGAGGGTCTCAACCTGCCCCCCTTCTAGTACAGGCTACACTACCAAGAAGCATCCATACTTTAATGGCCACTTTCCACCTCCCTAAGGCCTCCAGTGCTTTGTCCTATTCTGCTGCCCAGGATATCCAGAAAGATCACCCCTTGTGTCACAGCAGTGGCCATGGCCATCTGAGGCTATCTGAGCCAGAGGTCACACACTCTGCACAGGACAGGGAAGGATCTAGCTCAGTACTTCTCCTACCCAGCAGAAAAATGTGCTGTAGAGCACCCAGGGCCAAAGATCCAAGTAGTTTTGCTGAATTGTGTGAGCACCATACGCTGTTGGAGGCTGAGGAGCTCACTCTTCACAGCTGCCACTGTGGCTCCTTCTGCAGCAGCTGCACCAGGGGAGAGAACAGGCCACCTGTCCCAGCAGGTCAGTGAGGATGCCAGTGTCCTCTTCAGTGTCAGCTTCTGGGGTGGGCTCTTCCCTGCTCTGTAAATTTTCTGGACTCAACAGATGAATCCTCCCACAGTGACCTTTTTGCTCAGACTCTGGCTTGTTTTGTGAGTTACAATCTCTCTCCAACTCCTTCTACTCAGCTCCTGGCACATTGTCCCCATACTAAAATCAGACCCTTCCCCACTGCACTCCAGAACCAGATCCAACTCTTCTCTCCCATTCTTGTATATTTCTTCCAAGTCTTCAGCTTGGTTCCTCCTACAAATCTCTTTTTAATGTCTTGCTTTGTCATTCCTCTTCCTCTGACCTATGAAGAGACACTTTTTTTTTTTTTGTCAGTTCTCTGCAAAAACCTTGATAAATTTGTTTTCCCATTCAGATTTCCTACTTACCGTTCCCAGGTGCTTCCATTAGGATAGACAACAGCTGAATGACTAACAGTTGTACTGGTCCAAGAGAAATATGATAGACTACAGTTCAAGGTAGATTTGCAAGGCACATTTTTCATGACAACTTCAGAATACTGAGCAGAATATAGAATTTGTTGAGACATCAAGCCTGGGGATGTAAGCAGGTACACCTGAGTCATGAGAACTACAGTATTTAGTGGCTCAATAGACACAAGATGTCTCAAAATAATTGTTCAGGTGAAAATATTGCCCTGTGACCAAGGCTCAGCTAGTACAATTAATTGTCAGGAGTACATCCAACAAGTCTTTTCTGCCAGTTAGCAGAGAAGTCTGAACACTAGTGTATTAATGAATTCTGTGTGGCAATGAAGCTGTTTCTAGTACCAAGATTCATCATCCTCCACTAACCACCATTTAAATGTTTTATCATCCTGCTTTGTCCTTCTGTGGAAAAAGATTTCTTTGTCAGACATCCTTGAAAGCTAACTGTTGTGAGCTCATATGCCACCTCCAAAGAGGGAAACATATACATATTTATGTTGCAGAGATATCGGGTGAGTTCAAAAGCTATTGTAAACTCACAAAACATTTACACATGCACAATGTAGATGTTTGTTACAGGTGTGTGTGTATATATGTGTGTGTACATATAAAAGGATTAACCTAATAGAAAAACTAAGTCTGCTCTATTATGTCTGAATCGATTTGAGGTCTGGACTGGTAGTAAGGATCACTTTACTTACATATCTTTTCTTCTTTTGAATTTTTGGGAAGTTCCTCATGGTACACAAGCCTAAAAAGTTATGTGAGCACCAGAACACTGTTCATTTATGGTCCACCTTTGTTTTTTTGGGATGGGGGTTGTGCTTCTTGCTCGGTTATTTTTCCTCAGTGGCAGTGTCTAAGTCCATGAGGAGATCCTTAGTGCCATGGCCATACAGATCTCAGTGATACTTATGAGTGAACTTGTACACCTAGGAATGTTTGGCTATTTCTCAAACAATTTCTGCTTCCCATAAATTTTATCTGGGTAGGTACAAGCCAACAAAAGTGCCCCTGCTCCTTACCTTAGTGTAGGAGCTGAGATTATCCTTTGCGCAAGGTGGCAGCAAAAGAAAGCTCTTCAAACTCCTTCCTCTCTCCCCTGAACATCTCTTATTAAGGAGAGTAACTCCTTCAACCTTATTAATTGTGTTCTAAAACCCACCTGTTGCTAGTGGTTAATATATGTCTGAACAATACATGGAGTTACCGATACCTTTTACTTTGGGAACACGGTCACACTTCACTGTCCTTTTCTTTACCAATATTCCCCTGGGGAAAAGCTAAAAAATTAAATACAAAAAAAAAGGAAAAGAAGCATGAGACAAATCCCCCTTCAATCACTGATTTTCCCTTTCTGATTTTATTTTCACAACAAGGTATTTTTCCAATGAAAACACAATCACTTTCAGAGAAAGGATCAAGTCCAAGAAAAATTAAAATAAAATAAATAAAATGTTAAGCTCAAAGCTTAAGACATCATCACATGAACTGCGATGGATGTACCACTGGTACACCAGTTATTGTAACTGGTACCAGTTACACAAAATTATTATGTCAGCATAATAATTTTGGTTTTCAATAGGAATAAGTAGTCTGGGGAAGCTGACTATTGAAGTCCCAGTTAGCAGTTATCTTGTTAAAATTAAAGTGGAGAGTCCACCCTGCTAGTTTCCTGACCCTAATCAGCATTTGCTGTTTGCATATTTTTGGAGGTAGTTTTTATTTGCTTGTTGTTTTGGGGTTCAGATTTATTTCATTTTCCTGGAGCCCAAAATGTGTTGAATTGAATGTTTCACTGAAAAAAATAGTGTTGATGAAGCTACTTTAAAGTTCATTAAGCCTCAGAATACTACTAACACATCTTCCTCATATGGAAGAAAACCTTGGGTGAATATTTAATAACCTTCATAGATTTCACTCTCAATAGAAGTCAATAAAGTCAATAGAAGTAGTAAGAATAGCAGTAAGACTGCTTATTTTGAAAAAGTAGGGATTAATCTTCTTGAAAATACAGTATACTAAATATGTTCTTTATTCAGAGGCATGGTAAAAGAACAGCCAGTGAGCTTTGGATATGAACATTCTCTACAACCTTAAAGCTTGTTTTGTTGATCATAACCTTATTCCAAAACCACCGTGTTTAATAAAAATTGCTTTCAGAACTTGAAGAATATTTTATTATGGAATACAAAAATACTATCTATGTAAAAACAATAAGTTAATTTATTTACAATACTTTACACTATCCTGCTCTGGGGCTTCCTTTGCACTGGATTGCTTGTCATTATTTTACACACCTTTATAATTTTAATTATAACTTTGCACAAAGCATTTCCAAAAGCATGTCATCCATGTTCACTGCACCAATGATGGGCCTGAAGAATAATTCAGCAACCACATTAGCATTAATAGATCTTAACAATGAGAGGACAACATTCAGCTTGGCAAATCTGGCTTCATCACCTCTGTGAATGAGTCTGACATGTTCATTTAGAGCTTGTTGTGCTTCCCTCTGCAATCCTTCGATGTACTGTGTACACTGCAGTCCAGGCAGATCTGAAAAGAAAAATAAATTCTTTTGTTTACATATTTTTGTTTATAAAACAACATTTTCTTACAGAACAACTAACAGCTCACAGACTGTAATCATCACTCAAGGAAAGAAGGAAATTAAATGGCTATAGGATTTCTTGTAAGCAAAGACAACACACCAAATTTTATTGGGCGGATCAAATTCTTATCATATTGGTGTTCTGGATATTTAATACTCTTCTTCACAAACATGAAACATGATGTTTGTCAACATTCAATTAAGTGTTAAATTAGTTGATTTGATTGAAGAATGCTCTTCAAAACACCATTACAGTGGGGAAGACAACCAAAATAACTTTTTCAGTTTTTCACTTCTATAGAAATGCATTGTTTACATTTAAGGCTTCTTTTGACAACTGTTTCTACTCCAGTTTATAAGTGGTAAGAAGTACCGACTCCAACACGCGACAAGCAGTTTCCCAATTAACCGCAGCAAGGATACTGAAAAATGGAAGGTGAAGAATTAAGAATTAATGTGACCACAGAATCATTTTGGATGGAAAAGACCTCCACGATCAGTGAGTCCAACCATTAACCCAATACTGCCTGGTCCACTACTAAACCACGTTCCTGAGTAACATATCTACACATTTTTGAACACTTTCAGGGATGGTGACTCAACCACTTCCCTGGGCAGCCTGTTCCAATGCTTGACCAATCTTTCAGAGAATAATTTTTTCATACCAGAATAATGCCTCTATCGTTTTGCACTAGACCAGCTTCCAGATCTGACTTGTGTAACATAAGCTTCACCTTAACTATTGTAACATTTTCTCTCTTATCTGTGTAAGAAGCAAAGCTACACAAGCAGGATGACAAATGCAAAGTATCACTACAGGAACATAACCATCAATAAGTAGCAGTTTGGCAGTGGGGGCGCCAGCAGAGCCCTGTCCCACTTTCACAGGGTACTGCCACTCTTGGGAAGTGCTATATCCAACCTGCCAGCCACCTTCCAGGGCAGTCACCGCCGAGATAAGTGCCTTGGTAGAGCTGCATCTATTGGAGCCTCCACAAAGAGAGATGGCAAAAATAAACCCAGATCATAGATGCTATCCCAAAAGCCACAACAGCACTTTGTTGCTGGAATTCCCGAGCCTTCCCTTGCTCTCCGGGCAGCGCAGCTAACTCGGGCCGTGCGGGAAGGTCCCGCCGCTCCCGCTGAGGGAAACGAGCAAGGAGCCACTGCTGACCCCCGGCTTTCCCTAAGCGGCTGCCAGGCGCCTGGAATCCGCTTTGTTCGTGGGAAGCATCTGTGGAAAGAGCCAGCCCTCAGGAGCCCAGAGCCGGACCCCTTCCCTGCCTGCGGCCGGCGTCTTGAGGAAGGGGCAGAAGGTGAAACCTTGCTCCGAGTCCCTGTCCCGGGGCACCTTTTCACCCTGACGAAAGCCCCGGGTCTGCGCCGCTTCCCCGGGGACACAGGGGGCTCTCCCCGCCCTCCCCGCTGCCCCGCCCGGCCACTCACCCGGGTTGAAGAGCACCGTCCCCTTGAGGTAAGCGTACTCCTTGGTGCTGATGTCCAGGCTCCAGCACTTGGCCAGGAAGCCCTTGATAGCCTGGATGTGGCCGGCCGAGGGCAGGTGCGGGCCGTGGTGCTGCCGGCCGGCTGGCGGTGGCTGCTCGCCCTGCTGCCGGGCGGTGAGGATGCGCTGCAGCATGCTGGGCTCCGCGCT